GACCGGCTTTAAAGGGTTAAGGTATTTTTGTAAATGTGTGTTTGGTTTTGTTTATTTAGTTCAATCTCTTCCGAACTGAAGTCATCGACAGGAAGTAGTTTTTGAAAATACATTACCTGAACTATTGCCAGGATGTACTTCATTATAATACCAATAGTACCCTTAGTACAAAGTACTAAGTACTTAGTACTAAGTGAAACTGAATGTTTGTTCCTGCTTCCCATGGAGGTGAGGTTTTTACCAGTTACCAGAGCGTTATTACAAAAAATGACCTTTTAAGTAGTTCACATTAGAGCCCCACTGACATAACAGCGATAGCATCTTTGATGATATATCGTTATGTGGTTGTAACAGCCAACTAATCAAAGTTTAAAAAGGAAGGAAGAGATGGAAGTAACACCGACCATTGTGTTGATGTTACACAATCCACCAGAGGGCACTGTGTAACTTCTCTGTTTGCAATGTGTTTGAAACACTACAAACACAAGCAGAGTGTGAACGAATAATCAGCAGGTTGGAAGAGTAAAACAAACTGTTTCTTTTCAAACTTCAATGCCATATCATCTTAGTAAGGACTCAAATTACTACACGAAGCAACTGTTATGGGTGCGTCTGACAGAAACTAAATATCAGCATCAGTCAGGCTCTTAAAAAGCGTGCTTTCAAGTATCAAATATTGACTGAAAGGAAAGTTTACTTACTTGGCTGTTCCTCCCTCAGGCTTGTTCCATCTGAAATGATTTAAAAGTATTTTGTTTAAGGTCTTAATTAAACAAAACCAATGTGCTACTTGGACTAGCTGAAATCACGGGCTTTAAACACACTTGAGGAACTGAAAACAAGTCGCTAATATTGTTCTATTTTAATGGCTCTCTGTACTCACTTTCTGTCCTGAGGGTCTATATCACAGAACGTGACAGTGTTGGTAGGGTAATGGCGTCGGAAGAAAAGCCTAAAAAAGATGTAAATGACACAAAACTTAAAAAGTGAAACGTCCATTCTGTGGAGTGCATGTCATAAACTTTTATAGAGCTTTTAAACAGAGCAACCATTGATGATTTAGACTGATTTGGTCAATATGAACTTTAAACTCAGACTGTCCCAGTTATGCAAGGACTCTACTTTTTCTCGTGTATCACTACACATCAGACTGGTTCTAAATTGTTCATTCCATCAGTACCAGTAAGCTATCTCTCTTTGTTAATGCTAGCATGCTTTTCCTGACAGCTGTGCATTTAAAAACATTAATGTAAAACTTGTGGAAGCTGAGCTTCTATGATAATGCTGAAAGTTCATGTTTTCAAGCATTCGAGTAGTGAACTTGAATGCTTGAAATCACTCTTCCTGTTAAAAATGAGTTCTTCTTCTCTGCCGTCACCAAGTGCTTGATCACAAAGTTGGAGTTTAGGGTTGCTTTGAGAAAACTGCTGCTGTGAACTACCACTACATAAATAAAAACTGAAACATATGCTGCACATGTCCACCCTTATGCTTATCTAAAGTGCTTTTGGTATGGCCACTCTAAAGAAGAGTAAGACTTCATTTCTCCCCAAGATCTCTTTCCATCTCCTCCCAGGGAATGTTGAGATATATAATCGTTCCAACAAATTCTACTGTGGGCTCCCGTCCCAGCTGGGTGTGCCCTAAAAACCTCAAAAGGGAGGTATCCAGGATACATCCTGATAAGATGCTCAGATCACCTCAGCTAGCCCCTTTTGACACACTTTTGACACTGTGTTCCTCACAGTATCTCTAATGCTGGGCTCACACTAGGGATGGGTATC